CTGCTCTACCACCACAGAACCACTGGTCTACAGGATACCCTCTTGTACTCACTACCATTCACAAAGTGATACCACACAGGGGAAAATCTCTGAAGCAGACTCCTTTTTTAATCAATTAATCACTTCTTGCCCAAACTCAAAGCAACTGTCAGCACTGTTTTTTGACAACTTTTGAAAGACCCCTTTTGAGGTGATATTTCAGTTCCTGTAGTCTATATCCATTCCAAGTTTTTTAAAAAAGCAAGTCAGGCCAACCATTCTCTTTCAAGATAAGCACAACTGGTCATTTCAATTTATATGAGCTATTTAAATCTGGAGATATTTAAAGTCACATATTTCTGAATGGGGGGAGAGGAACAGGTCACAATTTTACTTTTAATAGATCATAATTTTAAACCTCATTGTCAAAAGGTACCCAAATTTAGCAGAGCAAGAGCAAATTGTCTGCTACACCTGTGCCAAATTTGGTGCAGTACAGGTATATTTCTGAATATGCCTTGTAAATGGATATCTCATATATGAAGGAGTCAAACCAAAGCATCGACACAGGAAGACCAGCAGCCAACAAATCTTCAACACATAGAAAACCTAGCATAAGGTAAGTATCTTCAAAACCCTGGGAAAATAAAGGGATTTCTACTTGTCACTTAGAAGTTAACTAAGGCTTCACAATTTTGTCACAGAAGGGTGTTGCAAAATCTGAGTGCCACCACACACAAAAACCACCATTATGGCTATAGAATCAGAGAACAATGGAGTTGGAAGGGGCCAACAAAACTACCAAATCCAACCCTCTGCTCAATGTAGGACCTCCTGCTTGGGCTAATTACTAGAGAAAGGATAGAAAACAGGTACTTCTTCAAAGTATTTCCAACATTTCTCAAGATTTGGTTGATTAGCAACGATATGGAATTTCTGCCTCTGAAAGGGAGCGGGCTGGAAAACTGAACCTCTACAAAAAGTATGTACTGCTAGAAGCACAAAACTATTTTAATACTATGAGTCTGTTTAAATGGGAGAAACACCCACTAGGGCACAGTCTAACCTATTGGCTTAGCCCGGGCAATTTGGAAGTACATGTCTATACAGTGGGGTCTCTACTTAAGAACTTAATCCGTATTGGAAGGTGGTTCTCAAGTTGAAAAGTTCTTATGTTGAATCTGCATTTCCCATAGGAATGCATTGATAACCATTTAATCCGTATCTGCTCTTTTCCGTCCATAGAAACTACAGTAGAACCTCTACTTAAGAACTTAATCCGTTTTGGAATGATGTTCTTAAGTTGAAACGTTCTTAAGTTGAAGCAAAATTTCCCATAGGAATGGACTGAAAACCAATTAATCCGTTCTGGCTGTTTTTTTGTTATGTAGAGGTGCGTTCGTCCATTGAAGCATTAGTTCCCATAGGAACTAATGCAAAACTGGTTAATACGTACTCTACCACTAGGGGGAGAATTTTTTTTTAACCTAAGATGACCTAAGGTTAAAAAAAGAGCAGGAAAGGTTTTTTTTTCCTGTTCTTATCTTGGATTTCTGTTCTCAAATAGAAGCAAACTTTAGCAAATGGAGCTGTTCTTAAATTGGATTGTTCTTAAGTAGAGACGTTCTTAAGTAGAGACCCCACTGTATGTGGGCTAAAAGGCTTCTCAATAAAGCACTGACACATTTGACTCCTGTAGCAAAGCACATACATAACTTCATTGCATGAAGTAAAAGGTACCTGAATAGCATGAGGTTCTACACAAGATACACTGTAACCAAGAATGACTCCTCTAATTTAATGTTTTGCCTCACTAACTTGTTTTGAAAACACCTGAATCTGTTCTGTAGACCAACGGTCCCCAAACCTTTTTGGGGCCGTGGACCGGCTGAGGGAAGCGAGCTCCATGCGTGAGGGGCCACCCCCACATGACCACGACATCCCCCACACACACATGCGTGCGGGGGGCAGAGATCCCTATCTACAGCCCAGTTCCAGCAAGCCCACGGACTGGGACCAGGCCGCGGACCGGGGGTTGATGACCTCTGATGTAGACTATATAATGAACAGGAGAATTTATGGAAAGACTTACTTGGGATAAACTGGTTCATAAAGATATTTGTCTCTTGCAGATGAAAGACTGAAAAACAAGATGTATCCATTTGCAGTCTGAAAAAAATTTAAAAAATCAAAGATGTAGATGGATAAACATTCCCATATAATTCTAAGGTAGAACTAGTTCAAAGCATTCTATATTTAAAACACATGAAATATGTAAAGCAACACAAATTCAACATTTTTTTCTGACCAAGCATTACCATAAGGGACTAGTAAAAAAAATTAAGGGACACATGCACATACAGATAGACACAATAGTGCAGTCTTTTAATACAGTGGACCCTCGACTTACAGATGGCTCGACTTACAGACTTTTTGAGTTACAGACTTCTCTGGCCACAAAATTTAGGTTTGACTTGCAGCCACAGAATCGACCTACAGACCAAAACAAAAACAAAACAAAACAAAACAAAAAAAACCAAAATGGAACAAAAATGGAACAAAAACGGCCGGTTACGGGATTAATCGGTTTTCAATGAATTGTAGGTCAATGGAGACTCAACCTACAGACTTTTCGACCTGCAGCCACCATTCCAATACGGATTAATTCCGTAAGTAGAGGGTCCACTGTACCACAATAATACACAGTGTACCTAAACCCAGAAGCACATGGGTTTTCATCACAGTTTATATAGACTGATGTTTGGAAAAATTGAACTTCTGAGCTCACATAACAGGGAACTGTATTTTATTTAAAATCAGAATCAAAAGATCCCAATTTCCACCTCTGGTGGAGAAAGCAGAAAAAGGAGGGGGAGAGCAACTGATCATGGTTTGCTCATGCAATAGGAAATATAGTTCTTCCCATTTAATTTGACCTGCACCGTACACTTTTAAGCTTCATAAATATGTTACACAGTACAATGTTCTAAATTATAAATAACGTATGTTCTTACAGTAATCAAGTTAAGTTGGATGAGTACTATTACATGTACTTTCACTTTCACCAAAGAGAAACATGCATTTTCTCCATGATTTATGTAACATTTTACATCTCTGGATCAGCAGATATACTGTACCAAGAAAAGGCTTGAAATTAGAATCAGAGAAATGCTGAGTAAGGCAAAGCTCATAAATAAATGAAACACAGATCAATAAGGAACTTTTTGATCTGTTGACAATGCCTCTTGGTGCTGTGGTTAAACTGCAGTTCTCTTCACAATCTGAGTTTGATCCCTTTAAGCACCATGGGGTGTTATATAAGCAAGCACTTTTTTGCTTTTATTCAAGCTCCATTAATGTGTCCATTCTGCCCTTTTTCTTTTATGAATTTCAGTTTTCCTAGATGAACCCCATGTCTAAGGATTTGAAGTGGAACCTAAATCCCAAGCTTCGTAATTTAAAAAAAAAAATCATTTTAAAGGGATCTGTTCCACTCAAGTATTTCAATACTGGTAGTATATATCTCCCAAAGCAGCAAGACTGAATGGGAAAAAAAGGTTTCAGATTTCTTTCCAGGAACAGTTTCCTGTTTTTCAGTTAAGGATACAGAAGGAAGACATGAACTTGTCAAGTCTCTCTCACTATTGTTCCCCTAGTAACATCTTTCTACATGATTTCAGAAGCAAAAGGATTAAATGTCCAGGACAAATACATTCCTCTATATTAAATCAATAATAAACTGTATATTCCAATGTGGGCTTGTTTTCTATTTCAGGTCAAAGTCAGTTGAAAGAAAAAGTGCTATTTCCACTAGCATGCTAAACTAACCTTTATTGTTTAGCTACCTTTAAATAATTTACACTTTCTTACCTTCTGCCAGCAGGAAGAGTAAGACAACACTATACAAAATACTACCCTGACATTAGCATACACAAGGGAGTTCTTGAATTCCACCTCCCATGCACACCAATAATTTCACAGCACTCAATTCAGTCTTCAAAAAAGCCTAAACTACACAGATAGCTTACATTTGGCCACAATAAGCAAGGCTCAAACTCTTATTTTATACAACTTGTACGGTCAAGTTGCCTCTAAACATACTGATAATGCCTATTACGGCATACTAGCATCACAACAAAATACATGTCTTCTTCTCCCTTCTGAGCAATGACCTTGCCATTGCCCAAACGCTCATTTTCCCAAGTTTTCAGAAGTTTTTAGGATGCATCGGTGGCAGGTATTTACAATGCATGGAGGGAACATCACCCATGACACAAACAATTTTGTCAGAAAGAACTACCTGTCACAGGGAGGGCAATAACCTCTTACCACATCCTAAATATTTGCCGTCCACTGGATATAAGCTTCTGGAATTTGAGTCAAAAGCCTAACTTCCAGAACTGGCAAAGCCAGTTCAAACCATGTCTTTCAAGGATGCTGGTCTTGTGGGGCCCCAGCAAAGTTTTCTTCTCCACCTCAGCCAGGTGGCAGGCATCATTCCAGGCCACCTAGGCTCCAGACAGCTCCTTCATGACTTCAGAGGAGAGGTAAAAGGGTTAATGAAAACCGAGTCCAGACTCTACTTTGCTATCATCTGTTGCTCTTATAGGCCTGTACATAGGTGGAAAGTGGGCATTCTGGAAGACCCTTAAAAGCTCATTCCTGCCCCACTGTGATACGACATCTCTTGTGCCACATCAGTACCAACTAAGTGCTCAGAGTTTGCAGGTGCCTTCCTTTCCATGGCCAGGACTATGAGGGTCCCCATGTCGGCCTCAAGTCTCCTGGATAATGAATTAGACAAGATGCAAGGAGGCTCAGGGCAGCTATGGGATAAACCTTCACAACTAACAAACCTCAGAGGAAAATAAGGCAGACCCAGTAAGCCTTTATGTTACTGCTTTTAATAAAGGCTGCCGCAGCACTTCATTCAATAGCAGTGGCTGCCTCTTCAATGTATCTGCAGTCAAAGGTAGAGACAGAAACACCTGCATCCTGCTGCAGGTTCCTGAGATAACAGAACATCGCCTCTGCTTTGCAAATATCTTTTCTCCTAAGCCAAACCAAAGCATAATTTTGCATTGCCTTGACATTTTCCAAAAAAAAAGTTCAGCATGTGTTTGCGGGCACAGTCACAACCAGCACCATAACAGCCCTCCAAAGAAGTAGATTTAAGTAGAAGTAATCTGTCTTAGCATGTTAACAAAATTAAAGAGGAAAAAGAGGGAGAAGGAGAGGGGAAAGGTAAACTACTGTGGTGCTTTAAAGACAACGGATTTTTTCAATGTGAGCTTTTGTGGATGAAAATCCACTTCTTCAGACACAAGGATTGCAAATACTATGTCCTCTTACACTTATGCATATCTCCACGTTGACTGGCTTCATGACCAAGAGAGGATACAGATAACAAACAAGGTAATAATAGTTGATGCATGGTTAATGGTTTATTATTTCTATGTAAATGAACCATTGTTGAAAGGACATAGTTTTAACATTTTCAAGACAACCAGCTTGAACAGTGTGCAGTTTAAAAGCACAGTGGTGCCTCGCAAGATGATTTTAATTCGTTCTACGAAAATTGTTGTCTTGTGAAAAAAATCATCTTGCGAAGTTCCCTATGCATCGGTCTTTAAAAAAAAGTCTTGCGAAGCATCGGTCTTAAAAAAAAGTCTTGCGAAGCACGGTCATAGAAGAAAACGTCTTGTGAGGCACCATAGTGATCGCAAAAACCAACTGTCTTGTGGGTTTTTCGTCCCATGAGGCAATCGTCTAGCGAGGCACCACTGTAACTTTGTCACACTCCACTGCAATCTTTCATGCCTTATGTTGTATTCCATCAATGAATTGAGGACTATCTTGGTCCCTGGCTCCAGATTCTGTCACTTACTACCAAGGTGGAGCTGATTTAAATCAAATCAATTAAAATATCAATTTAAATTAAAAAAAGGATTTTCAATTTAAATTATGATTTAAACCAACCTTTTTTTTAAAAAAAAGAAAATCATTGATTTTTATCCACCCTGCTTACTACTGACTGTAATTGTTACATCCCTAAATGTACATTTGTAAAGCACAAGAGACACTTTTTCTCCCACTCAAAAGCTATTAAAATTTAAATATTTCGGGCTCAGGTTTACTGGATTTCCTATATCAGGGAACACCTGATACCATCTGTTATTTTCCATCTTAAGAAGAACACTAGCCACAGGCCAAGTAGCTAAGAACTCAGACATTCATTTAATCATCAACACACAATGTCGACAATCAAAAGGCTGGAGAAAAAACCCTAGCCTAAATTTCTCCATCTGAAAAGTTATTAGAAAATAAAAGTACTAAGGCAATTCGAATGTCAAATTCATTTCCAGATGGACAGAAAGGTAATGAAATAAGCCAACCGCTTTGGCTTGGTTTCATTAACTAACTTGCTTGCCTGACGTTTATATCCCTTTGTGGTACATGCAGAATACTGGTTAAAAATGGAATGGTTCACCATGTTCTGATGTGCATTTAGTTATTAATGGGACAAAAACCATTTCAGACTTGAAAAACAACTAAGTGGAGACATTGTTTTGGAACATAATCCACAAAAATATACAGTGGTGCCTCGATTTACAGCCATAATCCGTTCCAGAAGATGGGTGTAGCTCAAAATGGTCGTAAGTCAAAGCACCATTTCCCATAGGAATGCACTGAAACCCCATTAATCCATTCTGGCTGGAAAAAAAAAACCATTAAAAAAAACCACTCCAAGCCCCATCAGAAGGCGATGGGGCTGGGGAAAAAATCAAAAACACCCCCTCCACACACAGAAAGTTCCATTGGAAGGTGAGGGCGCTGGCGAAAAAAACTACACACCCACACCCACACAGACAGCCCCTATGGAACGCTATGGGGATGGGAAAAAAAACACTAAAAAAACACCACACACATACACAGCCAGCCCCATCGGAACACCATGGGGCTGGGGAAAAAAATCAAAAACACACCCACACACACACAGCCAGCCCCATCGTAATGTGATGGGGCTGGGGAGAAAAATCAAAAACACCCCCCACACAGCCAGCTCCATCGGAACGCAATGGGGCTGGGGAAAAAAACACACACAAAAACAAAACAAAACAAAAAATCACAGCACAGAAACATAACTCCCCCAAACCCACCCTGAAAAC